CAAGACTGTCCACCCCGTGCATTGGGGGGGGGGGGGTAGCTTGCGATGGGGGAAACAACTGATCTTATCGGACCCATGTTGGTCTGTGGGGAGTTGGATGTAAACGGACGATGAAGTCTGTTACGTTTGGTTTTCCGGACTAACCGGAGTCGGGGTAAGTCAGATGTAAACAGACGTACATCTGTTTAGATCCAGCTACCCATAGACTAACATCGGGCTTCTGATCAGATGCATCTGAAAAACTGTCCGTGTGAAAGAGCTCTTTTGGGCGGCAGGGACCTGTGCCTACAAACGTGATCACAGCTGGATTGTGGAATTCATCATAGATTAGACCACTATTCTTCTGAGGCCTGGTCTACTGAGATGCCTTACTCTGACTGCCCTCTTTATATGGTTTTTATAAGATTTTGTGTTTCTTTGCTTCAGTAAACAAACCTTTAATTTTAATTACTGCAGGCCACAGACAAGGAATCTTTGTTGTTATCAAGTATTATTTAAAATTATAGTAGCATCTTTAATGATGTTGAAGATTTTCATGCCTTTTCTCACACAACTTTATTAACTTTTTACTTATTAACTTAATTAGTTCTGCAGTGTAGATTTGAAAGGCTGCTCACTACCACAATTTAATTAATTGATGTAAACAGCTCTGGAGCTCTCTGGCGAGAAGTCTTGCTGCTCTAAGCCTTGAGCTTTTCTCTAAATAATTCTTAAATACGCACTGGACCTTATGTATAGATTGTATAGGAAATCTAGCGGATTTCTGTAATATAAGACCTACCATCGAACTAGGTCTTATTTTCGGGGTAGGTCTTATATTACAGAAATCCCTGAAGATAGCGCTAGGTCTTACTTTCGGGGTAGGTCTTACTTTCGGGGAAACACGGTATAGTGCAAAGCCTATATATTTATAGACAGGTCAAACCTATCTAAACCCACCTCTTTGATGAAGAGCCATCTGTTGAAATTTGAACTCCAGGCATGCAGCTAAATACACGGATGAAATACATATAAGGCCCCTTTCACACGGACATTCCGTTCAGGTCCGCCTGTCCGTTTTTTAGGCGGATCAGATCAGAAGCTCAATGTAACTCTATGGGCAGCTGGATGTAAACGTTTGTGTGTCCGTTCACATCCGATTACCTTCGAGTCGGCCAAGGTATGGGGAAAAAAATGGAACATCGGAGTGGAGTTTGTTGTGATTGAGTGGTATAAAATCTTGGTGAAATATTAATAATAGGGTGGTGTCTGAATTATATTTAGATTTAATAGACAAACCATTTCCCTGAGTTCTTTGAGCTTATGGTGATTTCTTACCACAATATATAAATATCTCCCAATTACACTAATAAATCAAAATAATTTATTAATATACGAGTATAATCATATATTTCTGTACAAAACATAAATTACTGGTGATTACAGGTCAAACACACAATCAATGAAATAAATGTAAATAAATTATCAGAAAAAATATAAAAAACTAGACACCTTTAAGGCCCCGTTCCCACTGCGCGATATGCAAATCGCGCGTTTGTCGCGCGATTTGCATATTGCGCGACATCGCGAGATTTGCCGCGCGATGTCGCGTTCAAGCTTGCATTGAGCAAGCTTGAATGACCCGCTACAGCAGGACCCTTTGCCCCATTGGATTGCATTGGAGCGCGATATCGCGCGGTAATTTGCCGCGATATCGCGGGAATTACCGCGCGATAAATCGCTCAATGTGAACGGGGTCTAAGATTGTTTCTGACTCTCCGTGGCCATAGGAAAGACAGAAACGTATCTCAAAGTAAAAATGCCCTTGTGATCCTAATGATTTCTGAAGATAATAGGTTTACTATTCTAATAGGGACAACAAGCAAAACAGGCTAGTATACTTACAATAGCAAACTAGTTACATACAAATCTGTACCCAATTTAACCACACACAATGCAATCTCAGGAATAAAATAGAGAAAGATATGAAAAATTATCAGAAGAATTCACCCTGCACACTGTTAATTAGAATTGTAAATAAAAACATAAAATGTAACCGCTATGATTTTGGAGTAAAGAAAGTTAATTCTTCATATATAATCAGTATCTCACCAATCCTTCAAAAGAAAATGTTCAGAGTCTTATTGGATGAGATGATGGCTCGTTTTAGGCAGCAAGGGTTAAGTCTTTAGCGATGGTCAATGAGTGACAGTCCTTTTGTTATATCCAGGAAGTTTTCTTCAGACTCTTCCTTCTCTCCCCTTTTCCTCCTTCCTCTCTTTTTCCTCCTCTCCTCGTGGTATTTTATATGGTTTGAAAGCATTGTTCGTATTGGCGACTCCCCAACCACTATTTACTTTCTTCCAATTGATCGGTTCAGAAATGGTAGTTGATTGGTTATTTCACTCATATCGTTTGCATTCAGTTGAGTAAGCCTTGGATGTGTATGATAACTTACTCAACCTCAGACAATAATCATAGGTAATCTCATTCTTGGAACAATCGGGTGGATTAACTGTCTTGGAGTTTGTAAGGGTTTTTTGTTAATTTTTCATTTGTAGTTGTGATATCCTTAGCCTTTGTATTTCTTGATTAAACACTTGTAATTATTGACCTTGAAGTTAAGTTTCTCTCAGTATTGTCAATTGTGGTTTTATGATTATCTAATCCTTAGACTTCATTTGCAATGTTTTACCTCTTTGAATCAGTTTGGTTGAACAAAAGCTGGTTCCTAAAGGGTCTCCCCTTTATTGTTTGTGTCTTGCTTAATTTGTACACAATAGGCTATTTTGGTTGAATAATTTATCTGTCCAGCACAGACTTCTGGCCCATTGCACAGAAAAGTTTGATTTTAGTTTCTGTACAAGTCATAGTTCATCAGTTTTTGTAATTTTATATAGAAATACCCTGACAAGTTCCATCTTGGCGGACCTGATTGTGACGGATCAGAGGTAATCAGATGTAACCAGACACATTTGTGCTTACACCCGACTCCCCATAGAGCTAATATGGGTCCGGTTAGATTGCAAGATGGAGGAAAAAACTGAATAGACACGAATGTCACAAGAGTGCCACCCATTCCGTACTGCTCCGATTAGCAGGGGAACTGACTGCGTATTAGACATGTACAATTCATTTAATTCCGAATGGATATTCGTACAAATGTAGTTAAATTCGGACTTTCGTATGCATCCAAATTTCCGAATTCGAACGCGTCCGAATTTGAATGAATCTGAATGTACGTTTAACGAAAACTCGGATCTATACGAATTTTGTTCACAGCGAAACTAAATCGGACATGTGACTGGTCTCTGGCCAATCAAATGTTTTGTTTTTTTGTAGCTGTTGTGAGTTGCATTACAGGCACGGTCATATGTCTTTATGTTATGGAGTAGAGAGAGTCAGTAAGAGCTGTAGTAGAGCACATGGTGCCAGAACTCAAATGAGCACACAAAAACCCCCCAAAAATTTTGTTAATTTATAATTAAAGAACCCCATCTTAATAGATCCGAAACCAAAATTCGGATCAGTCCAAAACGAAAATTAGGACGGATCCGAAATCTGAATAACAAACCTAATCGAAATTTGGATCCGAAAAAACAAAAGAAATAAAATACTCAATCAATCCTCAATCCGAAAAAATTATTTGGCAGGGTTACATGTCTATTGTGTATGGATTCCCTGCTGATGAGAAAAGACATGGCCCATGTAAAGGGGGCCTGAAGGAGCTGTTTTACCTGCCAAAGGATTCCTACGTCTGTCCAGCCTGCCAATGGCTACAGACTGCAGAGAGGATAAAGTAGTGTCCCCACTGACTCAACAGTGAAAGAGCAGCAGGAGACTGTTAAAATAATCCCTTTGCTCACTCTGATCTCTTCTCTCTTCTCTCTTCTCTCTCTCCTCCTATCAGCATATTCCTTATCAGCATTTTTGCATGTAACACACCTGATTGGCTCCCAGTCCTTCGCTTGCCTCTTCCAATCTGTGTGCCTTTGTATAGGAGGAGGCTGATAGTCAAATTCAGGTACTTTCACTAATTGGATTTAAAAAAAGTATCATGAATGATTTATTAATATTTATAGAGTGGCATTAATTTGCCTTTTATGTTTATTATTTTTTTATGTTTATTAATGTGGTTATTGGACCATGTTGGGAGAAGCTTCGTGTTTGTGTGTATTGCTTAGGGTGTCTTTTCCTGTAAAGAAACCTGAAAGGATTTAGATAATATGCTGACTCGGCGACTGACAGCTAATTGCCGTTTTCAGGTTGCCTTAGAATACATTGTAGAAAATATTTTTAACACTTCTCATCTTCTCCTTTCCAGGTTCCGCTGATAAGACAGAAGGATGACTATGTCAATGACAGAGGATCGGAGAGGAAGGACTGGCATGACTATGAGCTAATTAGACGGGACCACGATCGAATAGGTAATGCTGACATTCCTTCCAAGCCTGTCAATGTCTTAATTCTCAAGACCTCACAAAAGCCATTTACTTTACTCAGTTGTCTGCGGATTTGATCACTGGTGAAAAATTGATATAGAATCTAACTAAAGGGACATGTAATTCACACACATTGCAGAAATCCGCTGTGCAGAATTTAAGCCTGTTAATGAAAAAGAAGATGGAAAAACCACGGCGGGTTTTGAATCGAGTAGCTGAATTAATAAACTGCTTCACAAGGTCAGTCCTTTGAAATGATTGCCCCTTCTGTTGGTAATAAATAAGGCCGTTTATCATCAAGTGAAATTCTGGTTTGGTTTGATTAAACCCTAAGGCTGGGTTCACACCTGGGCGTATCGAATATGCGCGTTTGTCCGTGCGATTTTACCGAGGGCTACCTGGCTGTATCCCAATGGATACGTGCGGCAAATACGCCCCAAAGAAGCTCCTGTACTTCTTTGGGCGTAGGGCGTTTGGCAGCGCGTTCCTACGCGCTGTAAAACGCCCAGGTGGGAACCATGCCCATAGGCAATCATTGATTTTCACATGTTGAGTGTTTTACAGCGCGTAGGAACGCGCTGGTAAACGCCCAGCTGTGAACCAGGCCTTATAAATCCCAACATGCTTCGGCTGATCGGCTGATCACTCCAGTGTTTGTAAATAACTGGGGACACGTGTCCCCAGTTATAAATGAATGAACAGGATGTGATTTACATCACGTCCTGTTCATGCATGAGTTTCTCAATGGGGAGAAGTATCTGTACAGAGGCTCTTCCCCATTCAGAAACTGCTTGATAGTAAAATATTTTCTGAATGAATGGGAAGCCTCTTTGCTTTCCATTCATTTAGAATAGAGGCTGCAGAAAAAAAGATTGAGGACTTTGTAGAAATAGTACAGGCACTAATGCAGGCGATCACACTGTGGGCGAGGGGGCCTGCCTGCGGTGCCATTGACTTCAATGCACTGCCACGCCCCCTCCCGCCCCTGAATGCAGGTGTTTTTTCGTTGGTAGATCTCAATGAGCTCGTCATTTGAAAAGTAGATCTCCAGACGAAAAATAGTGGGCGCCCCTGATGTAGAAGCATTCCCTACATGTATGGAGACAATATTCCACAGGTAAGTGGTAATAACCGTGATGCCTTTCGCGAAGCTCTGTCTGCTTCTTCAGACTGTACTACAACAAGATGCAACATGCCTGGTCCTAATGCTTTAGATATTTGTACTGCAGAGGCAGCATTGTCAGCTCGCTACAGGAAGTTAGGAGCTTATGGATTTCTTGCAGGATCAAGGGGTATTATTTTCTGTGTCTGTAGCATTTCAAAAGAGATATAACATCTGGAAATGTGAATGTATTGCATATGTTTTTCATGTTTACCAGCTGCAGCTAGCATGTGACATGGTAGAGGCAGCACGTGGAGATCATCTGCATAGTGATATATTACTATGATGTGAATAGTCTTTTAAACTTGATCTTGTGCTTTTCAGATCTATACTGATCACATACACTGAAAGAGTCAGAGCAGGGATACTCCCTTGCCACCTAGTTGCTAACTTATAAAGAGAGTTAAGGATTTTTAGTTTACGCTGACTGTAAATGATTCCTGAACAAAGATGGTGCTATCTTAGAGAAAATCAGATTTGGCATTGTTGGGGAGAACTATGATTTTTCTGATAGGTAATACTTGGAAGTGTTACTCTGCATGCACTTAACCTATCCGGTATTAGGCCCACTTTAATATCATTTTGCAGTTGGGATTAGTACAATGAATGTTGGCATGGTTTGCTCACAATCAGAAAATAGGTGTCAAGAGCTTCTTGAAAGAAAAAATCCATCATGTTAAATAGGTTGAAAAAACAATATTGTGCCGAGCTAATAATCATACACATCTAATACAATGAAACATATATAAATTAATAGCATATATGAGCCTTAACGCAAATAAGGCATAAAAAAAGATCTGCACACAAAAAACAACAACAACAAAAATGAAAGAGTTTCTAAAAAGAACAATGGTCATTGTGCAAGAAAATTCCTCAGATGGTTCACAGCCAATCGGCATGTAACTGTCAAGTAAGGATAATCACACAATGCAGGCAGACCTTCACCTCCACGCAGTGGAGTGCTCACCTGGGAGGTAGACCCACAGAGCTAGGTCAGATGCGCGTTTTCCCTTCTTAATGGGGGAGGGAAGCCCATGCACAGTAAAGGCGATAAGGTCTCCTCAGATCACAAGTACCAGCATAAATACAGGAGGAAAAAGGACAAGGACATGTGTCATTTAGTCCAATAAAATGCAATTTATTAAATACAAAATGCGTACTCTCAATGGTGCAAAAAGTACAAGCATTAAATATTGCTGGATCCAACCAGCAGGACAAGTGGCAGCAAAACAATGAAAGACCCGTTCGTCTGGCTCAGCTCAGTGCAGTGACCTCAGAAGCTCTGCCCTAAAATGTGTAAAATATGTTCAAGAGGTTGTTGGTTTTGTGTGCAGTAATATCATCGATAACATGAAACGTTGATTATTCTTCCTAGGAAATGGAGAGCAGGGAAAAGCTTTCCAAATGACGGACGCAGATCGGGTGGACCAGGCCTATCGAGAAAATGGATTCAACATATACGTCAGCGATAAGATTTCCCTTAACAGATCACTTCCTGACATCCGGCACCAGAAGTGAGTCCATTGTACTGACAGTGTGCTCATGTAGATGATATGGAGTTGCCTTGTTGTTTTTTCTTTTTTGTGTACTGGTAAAGTTGTAAAAAAAACAAATGACTATTTAAACATGAACTCCATCCAAAATGTATTTCTTGTTTTGGATAGAGTGGGGAAGAGTTACATTCGCCCATCAACACAAGTCCTAAAGTCGCCCTGTGGCTTGTAGATCTAATACATTTATGTTACTCTTCCTTAAAGTGGTATTTCATTCTAAAACATTTTTCAATAATGAATCCATCACACAAATGTACATTGCCTAGCAAAGTATTTCTTTGCATTTTTGCCCAAGCACACATAGTCATGTTTCACAACAGCTCCATCTCTCCCAACTCGGCTTCCCTGATCTTCCTCTCCAGTACAAGATCATAAGGGACAGCACAGTCTCCAGCAGCCGTCCATTTACTAGCCTGGAAGAAGGAAGAGTGTGAGGCAGGGAAGTGGCTTTTCTTGCTGTGCTTGTGTATTTGTGAAGACACGCATAACTTACTAGCACACACAAGGGTGTCTACAAAGAACCCTGCAAGGGAAAGGAGCCACCCTAAAACAGGATATCAGGGCCAGTGCTCAGGGGGCCACATAATTTTTGTTAATAGTTGGGGTATTTGAAGGTATTTTTAAGATTTAACTTAAGGCACTTTACCGCGAGCTGCTGCTCGCGGTATACTGAGCCTAGGGTGATGGGAGGACGCTAGTTTGTGTCCTCCCGTTACCCTAAGGAGAACTATGGGGAAAAGCCTTAACCCCATAGTTCTCCTTTAAGGTAAGAAACGCCCAGTACCTTTTTGTCTCCCCCCCGTCCCCCCTACACTTACCTGTGTCACCGCTGCCCGATCCTCTCTTCCCCGAACTTCCTGGTTGTAGGGGAGAATATTGCTGGCAGAGGAGCATAGGCTCCTTCTGCTATTAATCAAATTGTTGGGCGGAGAGACGTGGCCTGCCGCAGGGCTGTGTGTGTCCTGGACGCACACAGCTACTGCGGGCATGAACATGCACAGTTGCCTCCACAGCAACTGCTTAGCTGATGGTTGCACCCTTGCAGGGGACAGGAGGATGAGCGCTGCGGGGACCCACTAGAAAAAGAATTGAGCATTAAAAAAAACCCCAGAAGATTTTAACAAGTGTGGGCCTCCTATATATAAAAATAAAAAAAACAATGGAGCTTTAATGTCACTTTAACTTCTATCTAAAACTGATATTTTCATTTTGTGTGGCCCCCGGTGGGTTTAATCAGCTGGCAGTTCTTATAACTGGCAGAGAATCCCTTGCAGTGGTTTGGGTTGAAGAGAGCAACGCCTTCATCATAAGACACAGACTCCCTAAATTACTTGTTTATTCTTTACGAATCATCCATTATAAGATCCGCAGCCAATGATGGAAGTGAACATTCTGGCGGAGATATTTCTTTATTGAAATTCACTAGAAATATCAAATACCAGAATCTGATTTAGAGAAACTCTTTGTTCTTTCGATAATTGCAAGCGCTCATTACCATAGCTCTAGATTTTTGCTAGTGATGTTCCAAATGGTTGTATTGTTTGCTGCCATCTGGCCACATATTGCTCATTTTTAGACTTATTAGCTGCGTAATGAAAATGGATTTATCTAAAAAAGCCAAAGAAAATCAGAACCAATTCAGAGTGAAAAGGATTGAAGACTGCACAGTCTCCATAAAAGGTTGTTAGAACCTGAAAAAAATTGTAAGAATCTGTTATTTTCTATATGTACTATTAGGAAGTTGTGTTTTACATTAAAGCTGAACTCTAGGCAGATATAAACGACACCCAATAAATGTAACTAGTAAAAGCACCTAAATCATACTAAAGCCGGCCATACACCTATAGATTATCTGCAGACTTTCTATGGTCAGATGGAAAAAGTGCAACAGATTCCTCCATCTACGCTATACTGTGTGGATGGAGGAATCGCCCACTGGGCCAAGCTTCAGTATCTTGCTAGACAGCCCTGCTGGCTCTCAAAACACCTGAACAATGCCTGCATCCAATCAGATTGTTCAGGTAATTTGACAGCCAGCGGGGCCGACTAGCAAGATACTGAAGCTTGGCCCAGCAGGAGGTTCCTCCATACACACAGTAAACAGGAATCTGTTGCTCTTTTTCCATCTGACCATATAAAATCTGCAGATGATCTATAGGTGTATGGCCAGCTTTAGTATCAGCCTCTTGCAATCCCTTACCAGCAGCATTTGGCCTGGGAGTGGGAGAAGCTTCACTGGGAGCCAATCAGGTGTGCTGCATGCAAATATGCAGACAGGCGAAGAGAGCAAAGGGATGACCCATCAGTTAGCTGCTGCTCTTCTACTGTCCAGTGAGCAGGGTCACGCCCCCCCGTCACCCAAAGCTCAGTATACCGCAAGCTACAGCTCGCGGTATACTGAGACCGCCGCAGCCGGGACGGATCCTGACATTACTGTCGAGATCCACCAAGCTGCGTGATTGACAGCTGGCTCTGCCTTTCTAGAGGCAGAGCCAGCTGTACCTTCCCCCGTCCGTTCCGCCAGTCAGCGCTGGAGGTTCGGAGCGGGGAGGGGGGAATCCCTGCAGGGAGCCGTGAGTGACAGTCACGGCTCTCTGCAGGGAGATGACCAAGAAGTGAGCGAGCGACGGTATGTGTTCGCTCACTTCCCGATCTATTGAGCCGACGTGTGACAGTTTCATTGTCACACGTCGGCTCAAACTATGAGGATGAGTGATTTTCACTCACCTCATAGTTCTCCTTTAAGTGGGGGTCATCTGCCTGGCTATGCTGTGGTGCAGATCTGTTTAAAACTAAAATGAACAGAAATCCTTTGGCAAGTAAAATGGTTCCCTTATATGTATTTAATCAGTGCATTTAGCTTTGTGTCTGGAGTTCACCTTTGATAACTATTCTTCTCAATACTTTCCTATTTTGTATTCCTTCTGTCTTCTGTTTCACTTGGTGTCTGGCGAGAGTATAATTCGATCTTAATTCTAAGTACGTGTAGCTGGCTCACTGTCTTTATGCATCAGCCGTGTTAAGGGTTATTTTCTAAAGGAGAGGATTTCCAGGATTGTATAGCATACAATGCTGCATCCTACACAGCACAGGTCACACCAGGGTTCACCGAGACATGAAAAGCATGTGCACATTCTACGAACTGAATCAAATAATGATATCCTTGAAGATGAAATGTGCATTTGTGGAGACCATTTTTTGTGATTTGAACCTTTTATGAATGTTAATATTCATGAGACGTATTAACACAGGTCCAGCCTCTAGACTTGACTCCTAGGCTGGTCAATCTTTGTCAGACTGGACCATACCTGCTCAGTATCCTGCAGCAGTTAATCACTTTTCTGCAGTTAAAGGAGAACTATGGGGTCAGTGTTTTTCCCCATAGTTCTCCGAAGGGTAACGGGCGGACACAAACTAGCGTCCTCCCGTTACCCTAAGCTCAGTATACCGCGAGCTACAGCTCGCGGTATAATGAGACGCCGCAGCCGGAGCGGATCCCGACGTAGATGACGGGATCCGCCCAGCTGCGTGAGTGACAGCTGGCTCTGCCTATCTAGAGGCAGAGCCAGCTGTACCCGCCCCCTCCCCCGTCCTGCCAGTCAGCGCTGGCAGATTGGAGCGGGGAGAGGGGAATCCAGCCCCTCCCCCTGTCAGGGCAGAGAGCCGTGACAGGATCTACTGAGCCGACCTGTGACAGTCTCATTGAAACAGGTCGGCTAGAACTATGAGGTGAGTGAAAAGCACTCACCTCATAGTTCTCCTTTAAAGCTCAATTCCAGCCAAACAGTTAAAAAAAAGCATTAAATACATATATGAGAGCTGTTTTGCCCACCAAAGGATTTGTATTTCTGTCCATCCAGTCCTGAGATTTACATAACTCTGCTACACAGCACAGCCCTTTTTTTCTCTGATGCAGTTCAGTAGCACTTACAGGTCGTGTCCCTCTCTCAGCCTGTGATTGGACAGTAAAAGGAGAAGCTGCAGACTGATGATCTCATCACTCTGATACTCTGCTCTCTGCAATCAGCATGCTCTTCATCAGCACATAAGCACTGCAGCACAGCTGCTTTGCTTTATGTACTGCTTCACCCTCTCTGCTGTATAAGTTATTGCAAGAGGCTGATAGCAGGTATACTTAAACTGCTTGCATTCAAATAAAATACATTATTTTACCCATGTATTAATACATACAAAGGTGCAATCATTTGTGTCTTTTATATCTCCCTGGCGTTTTGGCTTTAAAGTAGATCTAAAACCTCAGAAAAGCTTCAACATGTTCATTTTATTTTGAAAGTGCCTGCTTTTAGTAGGATTAGCTATATGGTGCCTGTTCTTAGTAGGATTAACTATATGGTGCCCTTGCTTAGTAGGAAGAACTATATGGTACCTGCTTTTAGTAGGAAGAACTTTTATGGTGCCTTCTTTTAGTTGAAGGAACTATATGGTGCCTGCTTTTAGTAGGATTAGCTATATGGTGCCTGTTCTTAGTAGGATTAACTATATGGTGCCCTTGCTTAGTAGGAAGAACTATATGGTGCCTGCTTTTAGTAGGAAGAACTTTTATGGTGCCTTCTTTTAGTTGAAGGAACTATATGGTGCCTGCTTTTAGTAGGATTAACTATATGGTGCCTGTTCTTAGTAGGGAGAACTATATGGTGTCTGCTTTTAGTAGGAAGAACTTTTATGGTGCCTTCTTTTAGTTGAAGGAACTATATGGTGCCTGCTTTTAGTAGGATTAACTATATGGTGCCTGTTCTTAGTAGGGAGAACTATATGGTGTCTGCTTTTAGTAGGAAGAACTGTATGGTGCCTGCTTTTAGTAGAAGGAACTATATGGTGCCTGTTCTTAGTATGATTAACTATATGGTGCCTGCTTTTAGTAAGAAGAACTATATGGTGCCTGCTTTTAGTAAGAAGAACTATATGGTGCCTGCTTTTAGTTGGAAGAACTATATGGTGCCTGCTTTTAGTCAGAAGAACTATATGGTGCCTGCTTTTAGTTGGAAGAACTATATGGTGCCTGCTTTTAGTCAGAAGAACTATATGGTGCCTGCTCTTAGTAGGATTAACTATATGGTGCCTGCTCTTAGTAGGAAGAACTATATGATGCCTATTTGTGATTAGATAGTGCTGGTCACCTACACACGGTTGAGTCCATGATTCTGTGAAACAGTCTTTAAAGATTCCAATGGAAAAGCAGGATTCTATTTTAAAAATTAGGTATCAGTACAGTTTACTAAAGCTGTGAACACAGATACCTACTTTCCTCGTAATGAGAAAGCAACTAGTGAGCAGTCCAGTCCAAACATGAAAAATATTATGCTCTCTTACCATCACCATATAGTTCTCCCTACTTAGACCAGGTACCATAAAGTTCCTCTTACTAAGTGCAGGCACTACATAGGTTCTCCAGCAAAGAGCATCCACCAATGCCAGCATATATTTCCTCCTACTAAACGCAGGCACAATATATTTCTTCCTACTAAAAGCAGGCACCATATAGTTGTTCTGTATTTAGTAGGGCTACTACTTTTAGTAGGAAGAACTATATGGTGCCTGTTCTTAGTAGGAAGAACTAAATGGTGCCTGCTTTTAATGGGAAGAACTATATTGCACGTGCTCTTAGTAGAATTAACTATATGGCATCTGCTCTTTGTAGGATTAACTATATGGTGCTCTTTCTTAGGAGGAAGAACTATACAGTGTCTGCTTTTACTGGGAAGAACTATATGGTGCCTGATGTTTGTAGGAAGAACTAAATAGTGCCTGCTTTTAGTAGTAGTAACTTTATGGTGCCTCTTCTTAGTAGGGTGAGCTATATGGTGCCTGCTTTTAGTAGGGCCAACAATATGGTGCCTGCTTTTAGTAGGGACAACTATATGGTGTCTGCTTTTAGTAGAAGGAACTATATGGTGCCTACTTTCAGTAGGAGGAAATATATGGTGCATGCTCTTTGCTGGAGAAACTATATAGTGCCTGCACTTAGTAAGAGGAACTTTATGGTACCTGGCCTAAGTAGGAGGAACTATATGGTGATGGTAAGAGATATAACATGTTTCATGTTTGGACTGGACTACAGTAGTTGTTGTAGGAAAGTAGGTATCTGTATTCACAGCTTTTAGTAAACTGTACTGATATCTCATTTTTAAAACAAAATCCTGCTTTTCCATTGGAATCTTTAAAGATTAGTTCACAGAATCATGGATTCAACCATGTGTAGGTGACCAGCACTATCTAATCACAAATAGCATTGCATATCTCTGGCACTGAGCCTGTATGGTTTCAGTCTGCCTGGCCTATTTTCATCCTTCTTCTTGGCAGCTTGGCCAGTCACAATCATAGAAGTGCACGCAGCAGGCAAAACGTTTTCATTATTAAGGACTTCAAGTGAACCAAATTGACCTCTAGTCAAAATGTAATTTCATTTTCAATGTAATCCTTCTGCTGACTGCGGTTTAGTGTCCAAAAGAATTGCTAAGCGTTAGGGAAGTATGTGTATTCTCACGATTGGTAATTTCCACTGCACCTTTCTGCAGATTGCTTCTGGAATTTTAAAGCAAACTTATCACCACAAAAAAATTATCAAAGAGGCACATTTGCCTGATTTCAGGGTCCCACACATACCTTTTCTTTTTTGTGGCATTCCCCACCATGCACCCTAGGCAAAGCAAGATCTGCCTTTGCGTTCTATAATTATGACAATGTCCCTGTGACATCTGTACGAGAAAAGGAGTGAACAGGAAGGTGCAGATAGTAACAAAACCTTGTCAGAAATTATAACCCTTCCCCACTTTACTAAAATATGTTTTTGTTATGTCTCTGTCCCATTGTATAGAATTACCGTTACTTTCTATTTAAACAAAGTGGGGGGAAATCTCCCCAGTAAGGACACAGAGGGCAATAAAATCCTGTCAGAGGCTCTAGCTTCTTCCCACACTATCCAGAAAGGAATCAAAAAGTTTTGTCTGGAATTGGGCTTTAACAAAATCCTATGGTAGCTTTAGAGACTCTCTATGCAAGAAAACACCTATGCTTGACATAAAACAGTTTTCTAGCATTTTGTGGAGTCATCTCGTGGCCCAAGGAAGTACTGATGGGGTGGTCATAATAATCTGGCCACTGAGTGTATATAGAGAGAGAGATATTGTATGGTTGGCTTGGTAATCGGTTGTGTTGCCTATGATCTGCTTAATTATTTTTGCAATTGAAAGCTGGTTGAATATGGCTAGAAAATTACCACCTGTATTATTGTTTTGGGGGGTCCACGTGTTTCGTGCAGACACTGAAATACAGAAGACAACATACATGCAGCATTGTTTAACTCCTAGTCTTCTTCTGCATTTCACTGCAGGCAGGTTTGAGCCATACAAAAGTATACAAAATCTGGCATCCCTTGATTCCCGATCATTGTGAATAGACTTGTGATTCACCCCTTCAGTCATGAGATAAAGCTGTTTGTTTAGCAAATATACAGTATGATCTGTGTTACCAGTATAAAACGTTCTGCTACAGATGCTGAGCTTGCCACATTTGGGTCCCTATATGTCCCACCGTGGGGTTCACTTTACTTTAAGTGGTACTTATACATCATTTAAATGGATGTGAGATTTTTGTAGTATTTGTGTGCCTGAAGAAGGAAACTAAGAGGGGAATTTATCAAAACAGGAGCAGACACAATCTGGAGCAGTTGCCTGGGGCAACCAATCGGCTTCTACAGTTTATTTAGTTAAGATTTGAAAATGAAAGAGAGAAGCTGATTGGTTGCTGTGCGCAGCTACTCTAGATTTCGTCTGCTCCAGTTTTGATAGATTCCCCCGGTCTGTGTTTTTTCTAAAGTTTGCACTTCAAAATATATTCAGTTAGCTACTCAAAAGGTATCACCTACATTATTACTTTCCTAATACTACCCATAGCTAACACAGTACAACAGTTTACTGCTTTTAACAAGTTAAGGCATGTTAAGTGGTTGTTTTTACATATACTTTAAGCCCTGTCCACTTTAAGTCAAACCACATCATGTACAGAACAGGTTATAACTTTAGGTGAGCTAGGTGTGACGAGCACTGTAGTAGCCCTGCCATTCGCTAAGCAGTTTGGCCATTTGAAAGCTGCATTATTGGATTAAGCATTATATTATATAGCTACATGATTTTGCATTCCTCATCATGTTAAAGTATATCTAAAGCCAAACATTTTTGATTTTTTTGGGGGGGATAGAGTAGCTCTGTCAGGATTTTATTTTTGTTGCAGCCTGTGTCCTTTTGGGGACATTGCCTTAATTTTCTGTTCCTGAGATGTTTTCACTTTGGAGGATTTCCCCCCTATTTTTGTTCAGGGCACAACTCAAAATCTTGTATTTTGTTATAGTCTCGGTGGCAGTGGTCACCAGGATAAATAGAGAGAGTAAATCTCCCCAGCGAGAACACAGACAGCAATAAAACACTGGCAGGGTTGCCAGGGTTTAAGTTTTACCCAAAACTAAAAAAAAGTTTTGCCTTCAGATACACTTTAAATAAGTGGAAACTCCAATATGGAAACTGTCGACCTGATTATAACTCCAGGTTGCTGGAATTGGGAACTCATTGCTAGATTTGCAAAGAGATTTAATTAAGTGGTTGAGGTTTTACTCAATCCAGTATCCAGTATTCAGTTTTTGAGTGGTTCCTGGTAACTTCTGTCACAAATGCCACAGCCAGTACAAAGTCAAATGATGGTGTCTCCTGCCTCAGTGAATGCTGTATAATGTACAGTTAATTATTGAGGGAGTTCTGTAGCTATAGCACTCTCTAGGAGATTTGGAGAAATATAAGAAGCGGCAGGTGAATCAACTTGTCAGTTCCCACCAGAAGCAGTAATAGCAGTTTTGGTTGTAATTGGCCTTTAATGAGAGTGGACAATTTAAAATGCTTTATTGCAGCATGTATCATTAGTGTGCTAGTCAGAGCTCCAGAAAGCATTGCTGCAATCTTCATTTATCTGAGCTTGATTAGAATTACGCTTGAGATTTAGTGCTGAGTGTGATTGAGGTTGTAAGTATGATAAATTGCTTTGTCTCGATGGAATCTCTCCAAAGAGACTTCTTCTGCATCCTTACTTTCCCATTCATATCATCACACGGAGCTGTACAAATAGCCAATTGTCAATCCCATCTGTGTTTTCGCACCTCTCAGCTGGTATTTTCCCAGACATTACTGCGCTGTCCTCATTTGACATGAGCTTAGGGCATGTTCTGCATGTGAAGCTGACATCTGTCCCTTTTATGTCCTCTCCGATTTTTCTAGCTGCAAGAGCAAGCTGTACTCGTCCAAGCTGCCAAACACCAGCGTGATCATTCCCTTCCACAACGAGGGCTGGTCATCCCTCCTTCGTACAGTTCACAGCGTGCTCAACCGCTCTCCCCCTGAGTTGATCGCAGAGATTGTGCTCGTCGATGACTTCAGCGATAAAGGTGTGTGTTCATGTTTTCCAGTATAACAACATGTTATGAGAAGATCAAGCTTTTACAGAGATATAACCCACCTGTCCTTGCTTTTTTTTCCTTGCCACTCAGGTTTGTAAAATCCTCTGGTTCCTGATCATTTTTCCTTGAGCAATTTTTTTTGCAATTTAGCACCAACACTGAGCAGCTGGCCATTAACATGTGGGAACGCTGAATGCACAAGCTTGTCAGTCTAGCATCACTATAAACAAGAATACTTGGCCACTCAGATTCCTGCTTAGGCTTTGTAGGATGTAGGGTAATGTTTGACTCACATGCTTCAGGCTGTCACAGTGCTGACTTATAGGCGAAGAGCTGTCATCTGGAACTGTCTGAAGCTGCCCATAGTCCAAAGAGTGCTAGATCAGGGAGCTGTCATCTCATTTAAATCGACCCCTATAGGGCGGCCCTTCTTTTAATGCTGACCATTGTGAGATAGCTGTGAAGAACCCCTAAATAATGCTCATTGTTTTCTAAAATTCATAGGCAATAATAGGCATTACCAGCTGCTTAAGCATTCTTTTGGACTAAAAAGACCCAGTTTATTACCAAGTTGAATGAATCCTCTATTAGGCCACACAAGTTGAACGTTCAATACAAACCACAAGTTTAAGTAGGCCTTGATGATAGGAAGAACCTTATAGCCACTGAAATGCAGTAGCTTGTTGTTTTTTACTTCTATGATGGAGTCAATACTCTTGGACTCTCCAAACAATTTGCGTGGTGCTCTTGTTTTCTCTATAGCCTTCACCGTTCACCTGAGGTACAATTGAGGCCACTTCGTGTTAGAGAGCTGCCTACCCATAGTCATTGTACTCTACATTTTTGTAGTTATCACACTGAAGAACTTAACCATATTCAAATCCAGTGCCTGCTACCTTCATTTTTGGAATCATTTTAGCTTTTGACAGCTCTGGATAACATAAAGGGAAGTAAAGGTACTGAAACATCATGGCCGCTGTCAGGATTTACTCTCCATTTTAATGTTTGTGTAACTGGTGCAGGTGTAATGTGGTCACTATTGATAGGCATCAAAGCCCACAGTTTTCCAGACTAGAGGAAATTTCTGTCACCCCCTTCTCCACCTCTATTGTCACTTAAAAGATTGACTGCACAGTGATGCAGAGAATAGGTGCAGCATAGAATCGTTGTAATCACATCATGCATATATATGGTGAGTTTTTTCAAAGTGTTAAATCAATTGCCACACATATGCAGAGCTATACTTTTCCTGTACAAATGCAGCTTTTTCCTGCCTCCCCCCTTTAATATAAAAGGTGCCCTTACTGTCCAGAGGAGAGGCTCAGAAGGGGAGGTGGTAGGGTCAAGCCTGACCTTTACAGGAATAACTGAAATTTGCATATAAATTTAGCTGCCTATATTGCTAGAGCATAGGAATTTCCTAGTGGCAGTAATGCTCTGTGAACATAGATCACACAGCTATATGTTCTGTGAACACGTTCTAAATTAACCCCCTTGTGTACTGGTTTGTTAGCTGCAAAGCTGGTGTGTGAGTACCCAAGGTCCTTCTTGGTGTATATGCTGTAGTCCTCTAGAACTCAAGATCCACTGAGTGCTCCAGGGCAGCTTGCTCTGCTGCTTCTCAAGGACCTGACACCAATAACCTGGATTGTTGTCCTCTTCTTGAGTCCACACGCTTCTCTGAGTCTTGCTATGCTCCCTTAGTTGTGGCTCCATCCTCTGCATTATCCAGGGAGGAATTTCCTACAGTTTTGCTAAATCTTATCAACAAAATTACTGCCAAGATAGCTGACTCAGAATGCAGGATTCGTCATTGTACTTCTACACCTTCTCCTCTAAAGTCTAAAGTGGATATTGTCTGACTCATCTCCTGAATAAGTCTTCTATCTGTTAATATGTAGAGAACTATTTTGCCTAAATATTGGTCTGTGGAACAACAATCCAAAAAAACCCTTGCTGCAAAAGCCCTTTGTTGAAGAACATCTATTTAATGCTTCTCAGACAACTTTATTTAAGATGTCAATGGCAGAAAAAGCCTCCAAATTCAGACTTGGTGATTCTTATCACACCGACTTGGTCCAGTTGGATGTGGTAGTGTAACCTCATCAGACTCCTGGCAGACACCCCTTGGACTCTCCTGATCTTCTGTCTAAAGGACTAATTGTCCACCCTGCTTCACAGGTGCTGGCTTTGAAGCATGACTGTTGAAGCCCAGGCCCTAAGAAATGGGGGCCTTTCTGATTTTGCAATTCCTTTTGCAATTAAAAGTTAGGAAGTCCATGTCATGCAAGGTGTACCATCGCACATGGAAAGCATACTTTCTCTTGTGCAAAAACTTCGTCCCAGGAAATATTCTGTGGGAAGAGTCCTGACGTTTCTGCAATCTGGTCTGGATCAACATTTGGCTCTGAGTTCCATAAAGGGGCAAATCTTTGCTCTGGCAAGCCTTTGTTCAAAAGACCACTTTCCTCTCATTTGCTGGTAAAGGCCTTTGTACAAGGTGTTGCTTATATAGCCCCGCCTGTACAACCTCCAGTGACTCTATGGTATCTCAGCTTGATTCTCTTGACTCTTCAGAGACCACCCTTTGAACCCATCAGGAACAATCCCTTGTCAACTCTCTCACAAGGTTGCCTTACTAATTATCATCACCTCTGCCAGGCTTGTTTTTGAGTTAGTGACTCTGTCTTGTAAATAACCTTTTTTTATTCTACACAAAGTCAAGGTTGCCTTGAAGCCCAGAACCTCCTTTATCCCTAACATGGTTTTTAACTTCCACCCTAACCATGATATTGTGCTTGCTTCCGTCTCTTTAATCCCAGTGTATCCCAAGGAAATCTCACTTCATTGTATGGATGTGGTGAGAGCTGTTTGCGTTTAATTTGCAGGCACAACCTGCCTCTTGTTCCACCAGTTATTGGTGGCACTAGCAGATTATCATTCAAACCTATAGGCTTAAGGATAAGGTTCTGATCCTGTGGCCTCTAATGTACCAGAGTATAACCTGATTGTCTCTGATTTACCTCTGATAATGTGTCCCTTAATAAACTCCAAGAAATTGATTTTACAGTAAGTGCAAAAACCGTGATGTCTCTTGGCACCACAGATTCGGGCAATGGTACCTTGCTAACACTGCCTTGTGACTTGGGCTTAATTTTAATGTGGCTGCAGAATCCATCACCTAGCAGAACTATTGACTTAAATTTCCTCCTTCATTTAATATGCCTGCATATGTATTACCCAGAAGATTTCTTGTGGAGAGTAATTTAGGTTGTAAGGAAGATAAATTACCATGTCTCGGTAACAATTTATTTTTCACTTCTTGTTTGTTCTACCTAATCAGATGCCCACTATGCTTTGAATTTTTTAGCATGATATAAAACAGAATTAAGTCTAAAATACAAATTGGCTTACTGATTATGATGGTCTGTCCTTCTGTTTAGGTTTACGGATCACATACTGTATAATAATACACACCATTAAAAAATATATCCAGGCATTACCCATGTTTACTTCCTATGCCTCTCACTTCCCCACCAGAGCATGCCGCAGGATTATTTATTTTTTAAACTTTTTCCTGTAGTGAGCAACAGTTTTGACATTGTCACCAGGCTTGTAATATTATTGAAAGGGTAGCTGCTGGAAGCTCAGTTCCTATTGACGTGGGCACAGTGTCCCAAAGCTACATCTTTCAGAAGCCGGTTCATTATCCACAGTATGGAAAGGCTCTTCGGAATCAATGTAACGTCAATGTTTTGCTGGGAAAGAGATAAATGTAGACATGTGGAAATGGGTGGGATAGGCAGAATTATGTTGTCCAACAGGCAAGACTGAGAAGTCTGGTTGGGATTTCAGATAAAAAACGCATTGTGTTGTCAACCCCAACAGGAAGTTAGATGCACGCTTGATTTCTGGCAGATCAACAGCTATTTTTCTGTAAAGATTGTAAAGGAATAAAATATTGTGAAAATGTGCATGTACTGCAGAGGTGTTTTAAACATTTTTTATTTTATTTTAAATTGGCAATCAGTCATGAGAAAGAAGGGCAGAGAGGAGCAAGGTGCCGCAGCGAAGTCCTTTGTAATATGGAGGTGGGTTGCATGGTGCAACAAATCAGCCGGAAACAAGGTGAAAGATGCGACCAAGACATTAAAACACTGTGTGCATGCCTACCAATGGTGAAAGGCCACAAACAGTCGCAGAGAAAGATTACTTGCTATAGCAGTGGGAACAGACGAGGCGGCCAGATTCTCTGCCAGGTGATGGGTGGAGAATGGGTAGGCTACATCTAATAACTTACCTGTCAGTACCGTACTCGTCTCCCACTCACCATACAAGCCACCTGCCTCCCACTCAGCACATTCACCTGCAGAACCCACCCTCCTTGAGGTGCCCTCGGCAGTGCTACAATGCAACACCTCCATCTCCTCACTGACTCTACAGTTCCAGGGAATCAGGGAGTAAAATGATCCTTTCTTAAACAAGACATGCAGAAAGTCAGTGATGGGGAGTCTGCCCTGGAAGGGAGAATCAGTGATATCGAGGATGCTTTTCCACCCATTAAACAGAATGCTCGCAGAACACATCCTCTAATGCAAATAAACTAGATGACCTTGAAAATAGGCTTTGTAGAAGTAATCTGGGAATATTATGCCTGCAGGAGTGTTTTGAGGATAACAACCCAACTGACTTTACAAGCAATGGTTACTATTTATATTTACTAGGGATGCACAGATACCAAGTACTGTAATCGGTACAAGTACAAGTTCTGATACTTTTCCTGCTACGAAACTAGACTAGAGAAAAACTAAAAAGTTAGGAGGCAAGTGTCATTTTTAAGGAACGTTGGCTATGGGGCTCATGGGATTTGTGCATCCCTGTTTTAATGTATGATTTGTTTTATATATATATATATATATATATATATATGGTATCGGTGCATCCCTAATATATATAGGAAGGATAAATGCCACATGTCCCCCTGTACC